AAAAGTTTAAAAAGAATGTTTAAAAAAGTTTAAAAAATAAGTTTAGTTTAATAAATGCTTAAGAAAATTGTTTAAACAATACAAAATGTTTCTCCGCTCAACAGTCTTGTTTAACATGTTTAATAAATTAGAGTTTAACTTAAGGGTTTCAAATAGGGTTGTTCGCCGAAAAACAAAACTTGCGAAAATTTCGCATCTTTATCTACCGTAATAGAATTGTTATTGCGGAAGTTGCACATGCAAAAATGCACATTCCGTAACGCGCTATACGAAAATATAAATAAATAAAATTCCGTAATAAAGCATTGCGAAAGAAAACTTGCGAAACAAATCATTTCGTAAGAATACTTACGAAATAGTTCCTTACGGAAAAAGCATTCCGGAATGTGCAGTTACGAAAAAGACGCAAAAGATTTTATGTTACGATATATTTAAGATATTAACTGTTAACAGTTTAAATAATAAATAATAAAATTATAAAAAAATGTTGTCAAATGATTCTTCAAATGTTTATACAAATATACCTAATATAATGTAGTATAATATATACATATATATACAGTAAAGTCCCGTTAAGTTGGACTCTCAATGAACAGATAAACAGTATGCCTTTCTTTTTAGAAAGTATAAAGAGGATGTGCGATAAACAATTAAATACTTTATTATAAAGAACGAGAGATCTCTCTAAAGGTAAATGATATCAGAAAGAGTAAAAAGAGAAGAAATATATGTGAAACAGCGGGATGTGAACCTGGGTCTCCGCGGCCAAATGTCTTAACTGAATGAGCTATACGTTCATTCAACTGAGTGAAAAGTAGTATTTATTTATTATATAATTAAGAAACTATATAAAACAGAATTTACAGAAAGAGGTACGTATGCAAGTAGGATTCTATAAATCAGGAAAATGAATAGTAATCTGAACCTTTAGTTGCTTATAATTCATAACTGGACTTGAAAACTAGTTACTTTTAATGGAACACAATAGGCTGTAAGAGCCTCAGGGAAATTATTTTCAGAAATGATTATATTAGGCTCAGAGTTAGCTAGAAATTATTACAAAGTGTTTAGGACAGATGTCTAGTACAAAAAGCACAAGATTTAAAGCAAAATGATTTATATTATTTGAAAAAGTTGTTTTACGTACATTTCATCATAATTTAAGTAGAACTTAGTAAAGCAAGAGAAACGTGTAGAATTAAGCACAATGAACTCAATCTTAAAAGAATAACTAACAGAAGAGAGGTTGTCACTATTATGAAGGTGACGAAAGATCTGTTATATAGAACATGGAGGTCAAAAAATGCTATCTTAAGTAAAAAGAGTTTGATGAACAAAAGTTACAATGGCTGCGGGATGCGAACCCGGATCTCTGCGGCGAATTATCACGTATCTAACGGATTGAACTATACGATCTTATACTTAAATCTATATCTTATTAAAATTAAAAAACAATATTTTCTAAGATCTATACTTCGAAAAGCGTATTCAAAAAGGACTCTACATACCTTTAAAATCTGCTAGAACTTTAGTAACACTTTTAGAAATTATTAAATAGGTATTTTATTAGAAATATGCTTAAGCTAAAGCATATTTTTGAGCCTCTTTTTACTATTTGCTTAAGCATATTCGAACCTGTTTCAAAAATTTCATATGCTTTAAAAAAAAAACATGTATATTCCTACCCATCATTCTTATTTTTAATATACCTAATGAGTTCAAAAAACATCGTTATATATATTTATTATGGCACGTTTCGTAAGTTTATTTCCGTTAAGAATTCTTTCGTATGTTGTGATCCGAAATATTTTTGTTTCGAAAGAAATTCTATTTTTTATCAATACTTCTAAAAATAAAACCATAAAAATTTAATATGTTATTATACTGAAAATAAAAATTCATTATAAACATTTTGGGATTTAAAGATGTTAATTTTAACAATAAAAATCAATCTGGCAAACACATTTTCTTTGTAGACTTCAAAACGTCGTTTGGCGAAAATGTTTGTTTCGCAAGTGCGACTTCCGAAACCGCTACTTTCGTATGTTGCAAAATAGTTTTGTTTCGTATCTCAACTTGCGAAATGCTAAATTTCGGAAGTGGTTTTGCGAAATGAACATCGGCGATTTTAAATGTTTTGCAACATTCGGTACGAAAAAATGTAATTCCTCGTTCTCATTCTCCTAACGAAAAAATGTTGTTTTTCCGGAATTGCACGAATCCTCCGGTTAACAACCCTAGTTTCAAATAAAATTAAAAAGATATATCGTCACATTAGAATTATAGGGTTCTATCTGCCTTTTTTTATGTTGTGAGAACTTAACTTTCAATATTTATTTAATACATGTTTTACAGCTGTTATTCATTACAATTATAAATTATAAGTTGTTTGTGTTATCTATATTTCATTATTTAACATATTTTATATTAAACCACTTAAAAAATGATATATAATATACCACTTTTAAGTGCTTTGTTTTTATTATTAATTATTAATTAAAACTTTGGTTGTTAAATTCTTTCAACATAAAACAAGGCAGATAGAACCCTATAATTCTTATGCGACGGTATGTGTGTTCTCCTTGGCTGTAGTGGAGCCATGGGAAGGATAATTTATTTAAAAAAAGCATTAAATAACCAGTTTGTCACTGGATTCGCAGCATTATAAATACCTAATTTGATAAATATGCGAATATATATATATATATATAATTATATATATATATATAATTATATATATATATATATATATATATATATATATATATATATATATATATATATATATATATATATATATATATATATATATATATATATATATATATATATATATAAGATTTAACGTATTTACATTATGCAAAGATACAACACATTTTATATATAATAAGCTGAAGATTTAACAAATACATTTTACATACATTCTTAGTAGAATGTTGTTTATAGAGAGAATGAATTTTTTTAACTTAATTTTAAAAACAGGAACAGTAATAAAAGGATCAAAATTTAGTAATATTATTTTATTTCAAAGGGTTGTACGATATAAAATACCAAATGGATTGAACTTTTTTTTCTATTCTATTATATATTTATTTCTAAAATAAGTTCTACAAAAAAGTTCATTTAAAAAATTATTATTTTTTCATGTGTATTTATTTATTGGTTTTAAAGAAAAAACAAATAAAGTTAAAAACAAATAAAGATAAATCGTTTTTCAATATAAAAGTAAAACATAAGACATTAAATATGTTCAGTTTATAAATATCTAGAACCTTCATATAACCAAAAAAACATTTTGAATGTGAAAAGCGATCCGCATAATCAACTTTGCGGATTGCACGTTTTTGACGGCGATAAAGATGTTGTAATTTACTTTTATCCGTACTTCCCCAGGCAATTATTGCATAATATATATATAATTATGTATAAATGAATAATAGAGTTGGATTAAGTTTTTTTGCTTAGAATTTTGGGCTTTGTATAAAATGCCAATATTTTTGGAAATATTTGTGCTTAAATGATCAATATGTTTTCTTAAAGTAATATTCTCATCAAGATAACCACCTAAGAATTTTATAACAGTACCACTTTTTATTATCGTTTCATCAATATATATTTGAGGCATATTACTTGGTAAAAAACGTTTTTTTGCGCAAAAGTGAAAGATTCATTTTATTTTGTTAACATTTAAAATTAATTTATTAGCTTTGAACGAATTAGAAATGTTATTGAGTTCTTTGATTGTAGGTGAAAGGAGTTCATAAATATCAGTATGGGATAAGAAAAGATTAGTACCATCAGCGAACATTATACTTTTCAATTTAGAAGCTTTGTTTAAGTTGTTTACATAGATTAAAAATAGTAGCGGTCCGAGAATAGAACCTTGTGGAACACCACAAGTTATGCTCAGGGGTTTACTTTGCTGACCATCATTACTACACACAAGTTGTTTTCGATTTGTTAAATAGCTTTTAAAGTATTTTAAGATTCTATTAAACCATGTCTAATTTTTTGGATTAAAATGTGATAATCAATCCGTATCAAAAGCTTTTGATATACTAATAAAAACACCTAGTGTATATTGAGATTTTTCATAAGATTAAAAGATGTTATGTATAAATTGAATAATGGCATTTTCAGTTGAACTCCCTTTTCTTAAGCCATACTGATTGTTATGAAGTAAGTTGTTGAAATTAGAATTTTGAAAACTATTGGTTTTTTTCCAGCTAATAATGATTTTAGCCTACGTGACATTTTTTATTTGAACAACTTCAAACCTTTTGATTTAAACGCTTTTTTTTTATTTAAATGCGTATAAATACCTTTAATACACGAAGCCTCTTTTTGCTGAGGTTATTTATTAGTATATTAGATAAAAAAATGACTAAAAAGCTTTTAGACTAAAGATATTAAAAAGAACAATTAAAAATCGATACAACTGTTCTATTGTTTTCACTTTAAGGGGTATACCACCTTAACTTTACCTTAATTGCAAAAATATATTGTGGCTTGATTTTACCCATTAGCAAAAAATTGATATCTTTATATCACTTCGATCGCTTTTTCTTTAAAAAATAAATCAACTCTTTGATAAATTGAAAATATATACAATAGAATCCCGTTAATTCGACCCTGGACAAGTCGGACTCTTAATAAGTTGGACAAATTTTTTATTCCCCTTGAAATTCTTTAGACATACGGACATTCGCTGTCGGACAAAATATATATACCCGTTCAGAGTCCGAGTTAACTGTATGTTATTAGGAGCGACCGGGGTTTTTAAAATGGTTTTAAACAACTCGTGGTACCCCTTTACTACCGTCTAGACCTTCTAAATTGAAAACTGATTGATAAATATCGATTTTAAGCAATTTATAAAGTTAATACATTAGTAACTTTTCGCAGTTTATTACTAAATAATATTAGGTACAACCAAAACAAAGTGGACTTTACAATCCTTAATGTGATATTTGAAATATTTGGTTATTATAAACCTTTGATAAATTAACCCTTTCGAAGAAAATATGGTAACTAAGTTAATATTTATATCTTTTTGCAAAATTTACATGTCTGAAATCATTCATAAAATATTTATACAATGGCGGGAAAACAAACATACAAATAATTTATTGTACGCAAATAAATATAAGTATATACAAATCATGGATAGAGATTATCGTTACCAATAAACAAGTTCTTTTTTATGAAGAATCTAAAAAAAATGTTCGTTTGTTTTTAAATATAAAATTCCAAATAGAAAAGTTTAAAGAGCAAATAACAAAATAAAAGAAAAATTAATAAATTTGTTGCGCGATTTAATTTAAACTTTATTCGAAGATTTTCATTTTGTTTCTTCTTGGCCTCGAAAGAATCCAACTTGAGTATTCAAAAAAGAAAAGCAACAAAAAAATGTTAAAATCATTTTTTCATTTTCCTCTGCAGATCCTTTTTTGTACCTGCAAATATAAATTAAAAGCAGGAGGTAGGAAGGTTTAATATTTACTATTATTACTATTGTTGATATCTTTGATGATATGCATGGATTACTAAAAATCAAACAGTTTTTTTTGTTTAATTGTTTGACTTTTAGCAAAAAAACTTTATACTTATAGTATAAAGTTTTTATATCTCAAAACTTCATACTCATGCTTCCTTGCTACATACGAGTAAGGCCTCTCATAACTCATAGCGAGTAAGGTCATTTACACAAAAAAACGGTCACAATAAGAGATTGGGAACAACAAAAACTCAAACCTTTAAACCCCCCCTCCTATCACATGTGAGAGGGCATTATGAGCTAAGTTTTTTTATAAATTAAATCTATATTTATTGACAATATTCAAATTTTATTAATGGTGTTTGGTGATTGACAGGTTTGGTGATTGAAAACCATGTCTATGTTTACATAGTTAACAAAGTTTAAAACACTTCTTATATTGAAGGGGAATCGAGTTTTACATGCTTACAATTTCCAAACACTTACAGATTATAAGAAGAATTTTAAATTTGTTGATGAATATAAATTTAGTTAATTGCATAAATAAATAAAATAAAAAGTAACGCTCCAAAAGTTTTTTGTTCATAAAACACATAAAATAACGAACTGCAGCAACTCCTACTATTACCTCTTCTAAAGTGAACTATAAAAGAGTTATTTAAAAATATCCCATATGAATTCTAACGGCAAAACAAACGTTTTATTTTAATTTTGAACAAAAGTAACAAAATAAAAAAAGAAAAAGGGCTGTCAACAAAATAGGGGATACAAAGGGTATAAAAGCAATAAGGGAGTGAGGGTATGTCACCAATAAATTGTTTCCGTAAATAATGGACAACCCTAAAATAAACTTTTTAATTAAATTCTAAATAAAACAGTTAAAATAAAAACGAAAAAACAATTGTTTGTAATGTGAAATGTAAAATCAGCAAAATGTAAAATCAGCAAAACTTTTGTTTGTTAATCAAATTTTTAAAAAAATGTTAGTTTGATAGAAAACTTTGTGTCTGTTTTTCTATCAATTTTATGCTAAAATTTTGCATGTTTGTTGATTTATCCAACCTAGTTTTAAGACTTTTTTTCTGACCTGAAAGCGTTTTAGGTTGGCAATTTTTACTGACCTTCTATTTCCGAGGGATTTCTATGACCTTGTAAGTCCGAGGGCTGCATAGATCCACAAAAAAAACTTGAAACCTTTACCAAAAAAGTTAAAATAAAATTTAGATACTGAACTATTTTCAACCAATAAAATTTTATTTTTAACCAATAAATGGCATTTTCATTTAGAATCTTTTTTTTTTTGAAACCTATTTTTTTATATCCAACAGATATAATATAATATAATTTTCAATCAATTAAAGATTGTCTTTATTTAAATCAACTAGATTTTAACAATTTTAAAAATATTTTGCGCCGTAGATGCAGCAGAATTTACATATATCGACCAGATACACAAGTGAGACAAAAACACTAACAGTGAAATTTAAAAAACAGTCCACTGTACCACTATACTTATACCACTTACCACTATACTTAAATAAACTCTGAGAATAATAGTAATTGTTAATACTACAAAATATTAATACTTTTTACTATGGAAAAATGCTGTAAAACTCTGAAACCTGTATATACTTAGACAATGTGGTAATACTTGGGAAACTCTATATACCTAGATAATATGCTGTAACACTAGAAAAACTGTATACACTTAGTCTGAGTATTATATATTAGTTCAGTATATTAAGTATCTTAGATATAGTGTTACTTTTAAAAATATTGAAACTGCTTTACTTCTGTATCTATTGGTTCTTGTTTGATTCTTTGCTGCCGCTCCTCAAACTCTTGTAATCTCATTCGAGATTGGTCAATGGTGTCTCTTAATATTCTATCTTCAATCTAAAAACATCATAAACTAACACTTTATTTAATTTATCCATGGCAACATGATAAACAATACAATTATATATAAAACCTCTATATAAACAAAATTAGATATGCCATGACAACATGACAAACAATAAAGTTATATATAAAACCTTTATATAAACAAAATTAGCTCATTACATGATTCGTTTTTTTTAACACATACCTTGGCTTGTTGCTCATCGAATTCCAAAACACCGATTCCATCTAGTTTTTTAAGATCAATAAATCCTTTGAATATGACAGCAACGCCATTCATTATAAAGCGACTTTTAAGGTATACCTGAAAATTTAATTTTTATAATTGCTATTTCCATTATCAATTGCTATTTTAAAAGGTCAATATTATAAAAGGTCAAAAACAATAAACGATAAATATCTTGGTAGAGATATTCTATAAACTTAAAAAAGACAATTATAACTTGATAAAATACATATTTGTGTATTTTATTTTATTTTTTTAACTTTTGTTCTAATTAAGTAATTATTTGTGTTAAGAAAATTTTTTTTACCAAGTATTATGCCTTAAAATTACTTAATTTCAAAATTTTTCTTTTCAAAATAAAAATAAATTAAGTCAATGAAATTAAGTTTTAAGATTTAAGGTTAAAACATTTTTTTTTTTTTTTAAGATTTTATCACATTTATTTTTATTTCATTTTTTTTAAGGTTTTATCATTTATTTATTTTTTTAATTTAAGGTTTTATCTTTTTTAGCTTTATTTAAGGTTTTACCTTTTTTTTTTTTTACTTTTTTTTTAAGCTTTTATCTTTTTTCGCTTTTTTTAAGGTTTTATCTTTTTTTTCATTTTTTTTTAAGGATTTATCTTTTTTTTTAAAGATTGAAAATTAATATGAGTTCTTTTTTGTAAAAAATACCTTTCCTACTTCTTTTTCGAAGTCAAGAAACTCTTTAGACGGAACTGTATTTTTTTTTTCTTTGGATTGTGGACCCAAATACAAAAGCAAACTGGTTCCAGATGACAAAAATGCCTTAAATATAGAATAAAAGTAAAATTAGATACCAAGTATAAATATTAAATTATTTTCAATAAACAACTTTAAACTAGAAACTAATTGATCTGCAAAAATTGTTCATATTACCAAACCGCATCTTCCCTCGCGACATTCTGTTTGGAAACGAGCAACTCTTTCTTCATGTCCGCGATCACGATAACCAGTATAACTTACCTAAAATAAACATTTCTGATTTACTATATGAAAATTTAGATATTTACAAATAGTTTGAAGCTAATATAAAGTAAAAACCTGATTAAAATTGTATCAAATAATTTTAATGATACAAATAATAATAGTAATATTAATAATAATAACAACAATAGTAGCAATAAAAATAACTATGATAAGAAAAAGAAGAATAATGGTAATAATGAAAAATTATCAACACCAATAATTAAAATAATAAATTATAATTAAAATAAATAAATAACAGGTTTCAAAACAGAAACTGAATATTATATACCTAGACAGGAAAAGTTACAAACAGTTAAAACCTGACTTAAGGTAAAAACCTACCACGAGATAAGATACAGGTATTGTAAAGGAAATGATAATGTTTAATTAATATTTATAACGTTTATAATCATAATTAAAACTAAATAACTAATATCTTAATAATGATATATCAATAGTTACAAATGAATGTCACCAACAAAAATAACAATTAATAATAAAAAATTTAATAGAAATGTTAGTGACTGAAGAGTTATAAGAAATGTTAGTGAAGTTTTACTTTTAAACAGTATTTTTCAGTTTATCTAATTATCAATATAAGTGTATCAATATAACTTATACTGATAATTATTAATATAATTATCAATATAAGTGAAATATAATATTGATCTTTTGAAAAGCAATATTTCGTCTACTGAAAAGTTTTTAAATTTACTGACTAGTTACTACTTTGTTTCATATTATCCATTTAAAATGTATTGTTAACAAACCTAAAATATTTATTGATAATTTTAAATGTTGACATCTTTTCTAACCTTTACTCAAAAGAATTAAATACAGGAAACAATATTCTGGCCATAATTGATCACCTACCTTAATTTTTCATTGTTTAATGAGAAAATATAAAAAATAGAATATTATGGATATAAAATTTAAGACTAAATCATGGATCTCTGATGACCTAAAGTTGATTTAAGATAATACCATGGATCTTTGATGACCTAAACCATATCTGATCACCTACCTCAATTTCTTATTGTTTAATAAGAAATTGTTTATTTCAATAAAAGTATCAAAAATAGAAAATACAGAAAAGTGAAAAATGAAACCACTATTTAAATTCCTTTTACATAAAAGCTACTGATAAATATGAAATAATGATTAAAAATGGGTTTTCTTAATCCATGTGAATGAACTAGGACAACTAGTATACCTGTAGAAATTTCAAAACTACTTTCTAATGAATTCTTAACAATTTTTTTATATTTTATTCTCCAATGGTGTATTTCCTATGGTTCTAAAAACTTCTAAAAGCATTCCAATCTTTAAAAAGACTTATTTGTAATAAGGCCATTACCTTGAAAATCTAACATTGATAAAATCTTAACAGAATTTACGACTTAATCGTTTACGACTTTGTTAAGCACACTAAGGTCTTCTACAATCTTCACTTTTGTTTCAGATCAAACTATTAAACATTTCTTACTTTAACTAGTTTCACTGATTATATTAGAAGTGTCCTGGAAGATAAATGCCTGGGTGTGCTTTTTTTATTGACCTTCGAAAAGCCATTGACACAGTAAAACAAATTCTACTGGATAAATTATCTTCCTATGGTATAAGAGTAGCAAATTTATGGTTTAAATCATTTCTAACTAATAGAAACCAATTAGCTTCTATAAATGGATGAGACTCTGATATTTGTGATATTAATAATGGTGTACCTCAAGTACATATATTGGGATCATTACTACTTATAATCTGTAATAAAATTTCTCTAAGATCAATAAATTTTGATGAGTTCAACTCATAGCTGACAAAATAAATCTACTTTATATCAATAAGTTTGTTGAAAAAAATTACTAATTTATTAAATATGATCTCAAAAATCTTTGCCACTTGTTAAATGCCAATTAAATACCAATATCTCTTTATAATTATAAAACTGAGCTATTATTTTTTAAACCAATTATTTAGACAGTCAACTAATAATTAAAGTAAATAATAATAAACACAAAAGTGTATCAAATATCTTGGAATAAAAATAGATAAAAGCTTAACCTGGAAATACCATGCACATGATTACTTGAACTTTAATCTTAAACTATAATGTATAAACATACAAATTATTTAACTTTGCAAATGTTGACCTTATCCCATCAATAGATAAGAAACTACCATTTAATGACTTGATATATGTTATTGTCACAGTTTTGGATCCCAATTTTTCTTTCCTTTGGAATGAGAAGCTATGTCATGTCAATCCAGGCCAAACAGACAACTTAAAGACAAATTTCTTTCAAAAATTTGTCAGTTCTGCAGCAAGCAGTTTAGCCAAACCCATGCAACCATGGACGGAAAAGTCTTACCAGAAAACCTACCCTCTAAGAAGCCAAGAATTAATTTATATTTGTACTCTTATTGTATATCTACACCTGTCATTCAGACTAAAACTACATCACAACCACCTGTTAAAATTTTTGAAACTCAGTTTCATTGCTATGAGGAACTGATCAATGATGTGTTTGCATCTAATTCCAATACCCTAGACGTAGATTGTCTCCAATTTTGGAAAATGCATGAACAAAAATCCCCCAAAAAATAAAATAGCTATTTTGGTTTTTAGATTTTTAATGCTCAACTATGTTTTGAGAAATTTCAGGATAATATCAGGGTTGCCAGGTTTTTTTTCGGGCACAAGCCAAAAATGAAACAAAAATAAACCAGAAATAAACTAGACCAATAAAAAAAAAGAAAAAAATCATAATTTTTTGTTTTAAAGCTTTTTTATAATTTATATTTAAAAAAAAATGCTTTTTTATCCAAAAATTCATCCTTGAATTTTAAAATTTAATTTGTAAGAGAGTAAGGGAGGAGGAGAAGAACGACTTAGTGAATGTTTAATGAGGCGCCAGTCCAGCATTCAAAGTGGCGTAAGAAAAGTAGTTCACTCTCAAACACCTATACAAAATCTGACACTATCAACCTGTAAAATATATTTATTTTTTTGCTTGAATATGGATATAGATTTTTTTTCCAACCTTTACAATAATTGACTCAATTATTTTAAAGTCCTGGTAAAAAATTTTTTTCCTTATTCAATACGATTTGATCTAAATAACTGCATGCAAGGCTTAGTTTGATATTTTCTTAGTCTGATTTTTATGCAGATGAACTGTGAGAAGACTTAACAAAATAGTTAGAAACAGAACACATGGACAGCTATGGCAGTAAGCATCTATATTGCAGAGGTCAGATTCTCCGGAAACTTCCAAATGGTCTTCCAAAGTAGTTTAAAATTCAGCGGTGTCTTTAGAAACTCATTTTTCTTAAAAGTTTTTAGACTTGTTCTAATGATGCAATGTCAATTAATTTATGATTAATAACGATTTCTGTAATGATTTTCAATTTCTTCACTTTTTGCATCCATAAGATGAAACTGTAGATTTGAAATGGGCTTTTTAACTTGGGAAACAACATTTAATACAAGCAGATTTTTCTCACAAAATGTCATTTTGAATGTAAGAATTTTTAAATATTTTAGCAATTAAGGAAGAAAAACAACATTTTAATTACATTACAAGTAAAAGTTTTTAACGTTTTAAGATTTCAATGTAAGCATTTCTTTCATTTATTTTATACTTGATTGTTCTTCTATGAAATGAAAAAAATGGAAATCTGTCTTTCCCTCAAATTAACTTTTTCATGAAACAAAAACTTAATTAAATTGATTTATTATTAAATAAACCAATATTAAACCAGATTTTAAAAAACATACCAGAAAAAAAAAAGACTAAAGACTTTAAAATAAACTAGATTCAAACCAGATTTTCTAAAATAAACCAAAACAAAAGTTCCAAACCAAACGATAAAAAAACAAACCAGCTTTGAAAAAACACCAGATAGCAACCGTTCATGCTGACGATAAAACACGTTTTATTTTATGTTTTTAATGTTATAAACAGCATAAAACAGCAATAAAACAATATTAAGTTAAATAAAACAAAGCAAAGTTGTTTTATAATAACACGATGTGTTATTGTCATCCTTTTTATATTGACAAAGCAACTTCGCAGTATTGTTTTATTGTTACTTTATGCAGCTTTTTGCAAAAATTAATCAATGCGCTTTTAAAATAAAACAAGTTTATTTATGTCTGTAAAAAATTGCAAAGCATCTTTATTTGATATAAGTATAAACAAAATTTTTGGAGTTTGTTCCATGTCTGGAACTTAGGTATCTCAAACATCAGAAAATGCTGCATTCGCACCTGAACATAATAGTCTGAACGCTAACTTTTTCTTGGAAATGAAGAGGACATAACAAAAACTACCGTAAACGGGGGTGAATATGAACAGCGGGGTGAAAATGAACACTAGTACTAGCTTAACTTAATGGTGAAGCAGCACATAAAATATAGCTAAAAATTGAAATTTTTTGACTCACTTGCCTTAAATATAATGTGTGGAAGATAATTTTCGGCTGCCCTCAAAATTTTTTTTTCCCGCCTTTTCTCTATCGCATATAAACAGTACAAGCTACGTGGTTCGTGTTATTAACCCACCTATCAAGGAGTATCTTAAGAACCGCTCATCTAAACCTCATCAAAGTTACCTCAATTTAGGTTCAGGTAAATAATGTTCTAATAAAACAATAATTTAATGTATAACTTGTCTGTATCCGATTATAAGCTCATTTGAAAATGACATTTTTTTAACACGATTTTTTATTATATTTTGTTAATTTTTAGAACTATGCCTCGAAATTACAAGAGAAAGGAAAACAGTAGAGCTTATAAAACAAGTTATACAAAAAAAGACTTAGAAATAGCTTTAATTAAAATCAAAAACCAAGGATTTAGCTTCAGGAAAGCTTCAAAAAAGTACAATATTCCATTAGGAACATTACACAAAAAAGTTAAGCTTGGGGATCAAGTTCCGAAAAAAAACGGCGGACAAACCAGACTTGATAGTATAACAGAAAATTTATTTGTTCCA